GCGGCAAACTGAGCCACAGGGAACTTCACTGCCTCAGTTATGCAGACTGTACCTCCTCCACGCTCTTTGATGGGGAGATCGAGGCTGCAGTCTCGGAGCTTTGGAAAGCCAACAACCAGATGGTATAGGTGGAATCCGCACTGGCCGGAGTCTGCACCCACTGCCCAGAACAGCCCGGGGAGAGGAGTAGGGACCAGGTGATGGATCCTCCTCTTCCTTGGGTGGTCTCCCTCTCCAGGTCACAGGGAAGCGAGTTTTAGTGGTGGGCATACGTTGATTGATGTAGTGGAAGGGAGGTTGATCCTTGCCACCCCACTGTTGGTCAGGTAGCTAATTTTTACGTCCATGTGTTTGCCGAGTTAGGATTGTTCTATACAGCAATAGTTTGTTATAGGTCAGCTTTGTTACCCACCATCGAGAATTCTTTGGGGACAAAACTAGCTGATTGATTGTCCTTTTATTAGGAGACTGTTTACTGCTTTTCACAATCAGAGGTCTAGACACCAATCTAGGGAACCACCCAATTGGGATTTGTCGGTTGTGTTGTCAGCTCTAAGTGGACCACCCTTTGAACCGCTGGAAATATTTGATGTGGAAAACAGTCTTCTTAACAGAATTAAGTTTCTCGCAGAGAATCAAATCCCAGGGCACGATCCACAGTCGATCATCATCCCCCATTTGCGCCAATGTTGTCATCTCAGAGAATCAGAAGTAGTTGCTTCTATGTCTGGTTTGAGCTTTGAGTTGCTATGAGAGACATACTAGGGAGTCAAGGCAAGGCAGCAAGCATATGTTTATGTCTATGGCCAGGATAAGCAGGATAGACCAGCCTCACCAACTATTTTAGGTGGATCACTTTGACAGTGTTTGAGGTTTATGACTGACTGGCATCCTCAGCACAGGGTCTACAGAGACACCAAGTATGAGCACATTAGGAAGGTCTTTTTGGGGTGGGTCCTGTCGTCACGGGTCAGACTTTGATTGTTGACCCAGCCGGGATGACCACAAGGATCCCTGCGCATAGGTGATAGCGCAGTCTTGGCTACAGATTTGTGCAAAGAAGTTTCTTCTATCAGCGCTCCTTGGACATTCCCAGGTCTCGCTTTTGATCATGCCCTCTTGCAGCCTCTTCCTTTTGGAATGCTATAGTTACCCCCAGAATCGGGTTTGAGTCTAGCGTCCTCAGGCAATGACTACCCCGTCACGCCATCATGCAGCAATATGCTTTTACTATGGGACGACACTGACAAGGTAAGGCACTGTTTTTCACTTGTCTTAGCTAGGTAGTAGTCATAAGTAATTACAAAATTTTCCTTTATTTTCTGTTTTGCTAAGAAATCTTTCATCTCTCGTTATCTGACTGACTACAATTCAAAATAGTCATTTTGACAGACTGGAGGCTATGGTGGGTAATTAAACGTAGCGAATTTAGGCAGAGGGTTTTCAATCCGCCTATTTACCTAGTTCATACCTACCATAGACTCTAGGTCCCTCTCAACCACCCCACTTTCCATAGCGATTGGCTTTAAATCCTTGTATACGGAGAAAACATTGGAGTGAACATAAGGCAAGATGGACTAACCCCTTTCCCTTGGTCATGTGTTACATGAGGTGGAAGAAAATCTATGAGGTCATGGCCTAGATTTCTCTCTCCGTCATTGGCTGAATCACAGATTAATACCTACAGTTTAAAATAGTCATTTTGACTGACCAGAGTCTATGGTGGGTATGAACTAGGTGAATGGGCAGGTTAAAAACCCTTTGCCTTATTTCCTAATTCAATCACTGCATGTTTCATTATTAGATCAACTATTTATATGTTTGTACTGATATATAAACCTAATTTTAATTACTTATTGTTTATTCTCAGGTGGATGTGATTGTGAACACAACACAATCCACTTTGAATCTCAACACTGGTGCAGTTTCTAAATCCATATTGCTAGCAGGAGGAATGAGGCTTCAGCAAGAAATCAATAGCCAAAAAATGAGTGGCATTACTACTAATGAAGGGGATGTTATTGTAACCAGTGGAGGAAACATGCAATGTACTAATATATACCATGTACTGTGCTGTTCATGGGATCCTAGAGGAACGAATGCTAGTCAGGTATGGAAATTAGCGACTTCATGTCAGCATTTGAACAAGTCCAAGAACATGCGTACACACCTCTATCTGTCTTGGCCGATCATAGTCAAACTTCACATATATATCGTATATCTTGGGATGAATATGCACATCTATTCGTTTCACATTCTGATGCAATATGGCTGAACAACATATTACTGAGACCTTGATGCATGTAATTTTGTTTTCAGATTGAATTCAAAATGGCCAACTGATTTTTTTTAAGAAATGCTGTTCCAAAGCACATCACTGACATGCCTTGACCAATCACTTTCAAACTTTACATCGATACATACACATGTATGCACGTTTATTTGTCGAATGGCGGCAATTTTATTTAAGCATCTCTGCCATTCCAGACGCAGATCTATGTCATGTATGGATGAATGTAATTTGTTCAAACAGACTTAAGCTGTGCGTAATTTTGTTTATCAGATTGAATTTGAAATGGCTAACTTACTACCATTTTAAACAGATGCTTTAATTTGTGGGGCCATATCTCTGACATGTTTATAGATACATCATGTCGTATTTATTTGTACCACCATCAAATTCAAAACTGGCTGATTGGCGGCCATTTTAATGTTACAATTCATCAAAATCAAGCATTTCAGCCATTTTGGATTCAGATCAATTTGTCAATTTTTGTACATACAATGAACATATATAACAGGACCATAATGTTTTTTTCAGATCGAATCCAAAATGGGTGAATGCAAATGCTGTTATAGAGCTTCTTCTCTGACATTCATTGACTGATCGCAATCTAACTTATAACTACATGACATGAAAAACAGTAGAAGCAGAAATAAAATTTGTATAATAAAAAACTCCCTTAATACTCCCATGTAATTTGTTTCATGTTCTGATTTAAAATGGCAGCCCCAAAACAGGGTCTTATGGTTTGACCTCTGTGTGTCTGTGTGTCCTTGCATCCTAGACCTATACGGTTCCAGAGCCATATCTCTGACATGCTTTGACTGATTATGTTCAAATTTTACATATTCATTATACATCATGTCATAGATATACAGATGTATTCAAAATGGCCAACCGGTGGCCATTTTGTTAGTCCCCGAAAACGGGGACTTGTGTTTTGATCTCTGTGTGTCCGTGTGTGCGTGCGTGCGTGCGTCTGTGCGTGCGTGCGTCCGGACCTGTATCTTAGAAATGCCTGGACCAATCACAATCAAACTTCACACATACATCATACATGATATTATACATATGCACATCAATTTGTTTCACGATCTGATTCAAGTGGCCGAATGGCGGCCATTTTTGTGCTAAAAATCATCAATTTGTAAAGACACACCGCACACAGAAGATATAAATTGAATTACATTTAATAAAAAAGCACATACAAAATCAACACATACAAACCAAAAAACTTACTAATTATGCAATAATAAAAAACAGTTAACTCTACAAAAAACAAAAAATCATATTTCTAATAAAACTATAAATTGGGCAAGGGGTCCCTTCAGTCTAACTTACCAGGCCAAGGGCATAAGTGAGATCAACGTCAAGGCCACGAAGTGACCTTGTAGCTGAAGGTCACTATGCTGCCCAGGGGATGAAGGTCACCGTGCCACCAAGGTCGTGTGTGACCGTGAAGGTGGCCGACAAGTGAGGAGTAGCCTGGGGAGTGGCTACTGAGAAACTGAATGGGGGGCAGGATGAAATCCCTGGCCCAGTAAGTCAGAATGAAGGGGCCAAAAGGCGGAAGATGGGGATGGTGGTGGGATTGACGATAATGCACTGTGCACTGTAGCGTGATAAAAAAAAAAAACTGAATGAATGAGTGGTAACAATAGAGACAAAAGAAATTTAGGTGACGCTAAGTGTCATGTACAAGTGAGAACTGATTGGCTGCCAAATTAAATTAAGCGCTTAATTAAACAGGGTTGCAAAGACTATCTAAGGGGTGCTAAGCAAATCCTCCTAGCAGTGAGCTAAGTGTCCCTACAAAATATTTTCAGATTAGATTCAAAATGGCCGACTGCTTGCTTCCACTGATTATGTTCAGATTTTAAATATTCATTATACATCATGTCATGGCTATACGAATATATTGGTTTGACGATCCTATTCAAAATGGCCGAATGGTGGCCATTTTTGTGCTAAAAAATCATCAAATATTAAGCATTTCTGGCATTTATGGATAGATTTTATTCAAACTTAGTACATACATTAGACATTATGGGTTCCTGATGCACATCATTTTATTTGTCAGATCAGATTCAAAATGGCTGTCTGGCGGCCATTTTGTTTTAATGAATGGGTTTCCAGACCCATACAGTGTATGTCTGACTTGTTTTGACTGATTATGTTCAAATTTTTAATATTCATTATACATCATGTCATGGATATACGAATATATTGGTTTGACGATTCTTTCAAAGTGGCCAAATGGTGGCTATTTTTGTGCTAAAAAAATCCTCAAATATCAAGCATTTCTTGCATTTATGGATGGATTTTGTTCCAACGTATAACATACATTAGACATTACAGGTTCCTGATGCACATCATTTTATTTTTCAGATTGGATTCAAAATAGCTGACTGGCAGCCATTTTGTTTTAATGATTGGCTTCGAGAGCCATACATGTATCTCTTAAATGCTTTGACTGATTATATTCAAATTTTATATATTCGTTATATATAATGTTATATATATATATATATACATGTATTCAAAATGGATGATTTTGAATGCTGTTCCAGAGCAATATCTCTCAATATGGACAAGTACTTGTTTGACGATCAGATACAAATGTCAATCATTTTAATAATAAAAAAATCATATTCCTGACATGGTTATATTCCAGCTATATTACCATAAACAAAACTATATATCTTAAGTTTGATAACTAACTAGGACTGTGCCATGCATGGCTTGTTTATTATATGTCTCTTGGTGCTTTAAGATGCATACAGTTGTCAACATTAAAATTAAAGGTAAATTTTGAGTCTCAAGTCTGATATGAGTGTATGATAAGGCCAAGAACAGTAAGAAAACAGTTCTGGTCATTTTCTTTTTCCAAAATAGATATAATTTAGTTGTTTTTTATTGTGTTTTTTTTCAAAAATTCAGAAAAAGCAT